GACTTAGAGCCTCAGGTGGGTTTGTCGTGGAATATTTCCCACCTCCTCAAAGTAATGAATGTGTGTCACCCATTTTCTGCACACACTGTAGGTTATAGTTGAGACAGTTTATTGTCAGCCTTTTAGGATAAGACCACTTCCCACGTCTAGGGGCCATGATCTTACCTGAAGGGTCAATTGCCATCATCTTGCCTTCAGCTGGGGGAACAAGTCTTGCTTTTCAGACACAAAACTAGAACTGAGTGGGTGGTCATAAAGAAAAGTTAGAATTTTTCTTGCCTTGAGCTTGATCACAAAGGAATCAAGGTAACTTCTTGTTGAGGGAATAAGACATTGTTTTACATAAGAACGCAAGGTTCTTAGCTCATATGTGGACTGGAGCACAAGTGAGCAAGTTAAGTAAGATAAGGGACATACAATGTGTAGGCCAAATTTTTATGATCCTTGTATTTTCTTTGTGTTTTCCTTAATGTGTGCTTAAGAGAATAAAGAGAAGAGAAATGCTGCTTATTTGGGTCAAAGCTGGTAGTCAGTGTGAAGACAGCAGGAGTATCTAATGTGAGGTAATAAAAAGAGGAAAGGGCAGGGAGGGTGAAACAGCTGATCCACCCTGAAAATCTGCCTTTGTCTTTGTCCCCTGAGATCATGTATAGAATCCTAGTCTCAGATTTCAATAGGGATACCATAGCTAGTAAGTGGAGAGCCAAAATTTGAACTTAGTTTTCATTCTAGAGCACCACCTCTTGGTTATCAAAATTTTTGTTTGTTTTTTAAGAGTTGAGGATTGGGGGTGGGGGGTGGGGGGTGGGCAGATGAAAATATACTCTAGCTAAAAATAATTGCTAATTTCTGGTCTTAGAAATTTAGAGAACATGCATATCAACTCTAGGAAATTTGGACTTCTGTTTTTAAATGTGCATTTAATTTTTCTGCATAGGGTATTCAAGTGGCTCGAACCCAAGAACTGAAGCCCTATGTCATATTTATAAAGCCATCTAACCTGAGTTGTATGAAGCTATCTCGGAAAAATGCCAAGATCATTACAGACTACTTTGTGGAGATGAAGTTCAAGGTAAGATACAGAGGAAGTGGTTGACTGTATTTTTTTCTAGTCAAAAAATCACAGTATTATTTCCAGAGAATTCCTATGTTAAGGAATGTAATATTTCTAATACATAATATCCTTTTGATTTATCCTTTTTACTGGACATTACTTACAGATGTGAAAATAAAGTTTAATAAATGCTATGATGCTACCTTTCTCCCCCCACCCCTCTTTTCTGATGGGTCTAGCTTTTAAAAAAAGGTCCCAAAGCCAGTTTGCAAAAGTCTGAATCTTTTACAAAGAAATTGGTGTGCACAAGCCTGATATTTGTATTTTAAGTGGATTAGTTATAAGAAAGTTCACTTTAAAAATGCTATAGTGAATATATATGCCTATTCCCAAGAAAGGTGATCCAACCAATTGTGGAAATTATCGAACAATATCATTAATATCACATGCAAGTAAAATTTTGTGAAGATCATTCAAAAGCGGCTGCAGCAGTATGTCAACAGGGAACTGCTAGAAATTCACTGGATTCAGAAGAGGACGGGGAACCAGAGATATCCTTGCTGATGTCAGATGGATCCTGGCTGAAAGTAGATAACACCAGAAAGATGTTTACCTGTGATTTATTGACTATGCAAAGGCATTCAACTGTGTGGATTGTAACAAATTATGGATGACATTTCAAAGAATGGAAATTCTGGAACACTTAATTATGCTCATAGGGAACCTGTACATACATCAAGATGCAGTCATTCAGACAGAACAAAGGGATACTGCGTGGTTTAAAGTCAGGAAAGGTGTGTGTCAGGGTTGTATCCTTTCACCATATTTATTCAATCTGTATGTAGAGAAACTAACCAGAGAAGCTGGACTTTATGAAGAAGAATGGGACATCAGGATTGGAGGAGGACTGATTAACAACCTGCATTATGCAGATGACACAAACTTGCTTGCTCAAAGTGAAGAGGACTTGAAGCACTTAAATGATGAAGATCAAAGACTACACCCTTCAGTATGGATTGCACCTTAACATAAAGAAAACAAAAATCCTCACAATTGGACTAATAAGCAACATCATGATAAATGGAGAAAACAGTGAAGTTATCAAGGATTTCATTTTACTTGGATCCACATTCAACACCCATGGAAACAGAAGGTCAAGAAATCAAAAGACACATTGCATTGGGTAAATTGGCTGCAAAAGACCTCTTTCAAGTGTTAAAAGCAAAGATGTCACCTTGAAGACTAAGGTGCGCCTGACCCAAGCAATGGGGTTTTCAGTCACCTCACATGCATGTGAAAGCTGGACAATGAATAAAGAAGACCGAAGAAAAATCAACGCCTTTGAATTGCAGTGTTGGAGAAGAGTATTGAATATACCATGACTGCCAAAAGAACAAACAAATCTGTCTTGGAAGAAGTACAGCCAGAATGCTCCTTAGAAGCAAGGATGGCAAGACTATGTTTCACATACTTTGAACATGTTTTCAGGAGGGATCAGTCCCTGCAGAAGGACATCATGCTTAGTAGAGGGTCTTCGAAAAAGAGGAAGACCCTCAGTGAGATGGATTGACACAGTGGCTGCAACAATGGGCTCAAGCATAACAACTATTGTGAGAATGGTGCAGGACCGGGCAGTGTTTCCTTCTGTTGTACGTAGGGTTGCTATGAGTTGGAGATAACTCGACAGCACCTAACAAGAACAACATAGTGAATATACTTTGTGTGTAATATCAGGTATCTTATTACCTTACCTCTCATTATTTTTGTTTTTATATTTTTCAATGACTGCTTTATAAAAGTCTGATTCTCCAGGTTGCATTTAGTTCAGTGGAGTTTATGGATGCATTTTCCGAGTGTTATGGGCATTTAAAATTGTGTTCTCATTTTGATGGCTGTCTAAACAAATTAATAAAATTGTTCTGGGTCATGTGTATGGCCACTTTGTAAAGGAGTACTGTCACAAGATTTCAGTGCCTGCATTTGCATTTGTATTTATGATTGCATTGGCAACAAGTACTACTACTTTAATTGTCATGGACAAATAAGAAAATAACAGCAATAAATTTAATTACTATCCTTATGGAGGTGGCCATTTTGTATCTGCAAAATAATGTCATTCTTATCAGATTAATGTTCTTTGGAATTTTATGTTTAAGTTTTATTTATATTTAATTGATAAATTTGCTTTGGCTTTATGTTGCATATGGTTCGATAGCTTCAAGTGTTTAGGTAATAATTTTAAGTCCATGTGGGAAGCTGAGCGGTTATTTCTTTGACCTAATTGTTTATAAATAGCTTCTAAACCCAATTTGACAGTATAACAAACTGTGTATTAATTCTATTTGTCTCCTTAAATCTGTGCTATACATATTTTTCTATTTCTCCTGAAGGATGAAGATTTACAAGAGATGGAGGATTTAGCTCAAAAAATGGAGGCCCAGTTTGGCCAGTATTTTGATCACGTGATTGTGAATGACAGCTTGCAAGATGCATGTGTCCAGTTGTTGTCAGCAGTAAGGAAAGCTCAGGAAGAGCCTCAGTGGGTCCCAGCAACATGGATTTCCTCTGATACCGAGTCTTAGGGAGGCCTCCTGCTTAATACTGGAGTTTTCAATGTACGTTTGTTATAGATATCTGGAATAATAGCTGTAATACAAAATAGCACTATTTGATTCATTATAATGTGTGCAACTTTAAAAGTGCTGTAGTTTATTAATTAATCTTATATGGAAATAAATGTGTATTGTATGGGTATGTAGATTGGCTTTTGGGAAACTTGTTTTTCCTTTACCTCCTGTGCAGCAATGTAGAAATATGAATGTGAAAATGTCAAGTCACTGAATATGAGAACCTTTCATTTATTTCATATGGTCTTTGTAGGATTCAGATAAAAAAAAGCTTTTCCTGAATAAAATCGGCAGTATTTCATTTCAGAAACTGTGTTTTACTATATAAACCATGCTTTATGAAAATGTCTTTGTCACATCATTCTCTTTTACAAAAAGTGCTTATGTGACTAACTCAGCAAGAAAAGTTAATATACGCATTTCACATCTAACATCAAAACCTCAGAAACTGCTCCCATTAACTTACAAATCAATCTACAAGGAAGATTATTCTTCTGATCAGAGCTGTCCCAATCATTAATCTTCCTAAAGCCAATATCCACATTTATGCCTAAATTGCCTACCTTTCGGTTAACAGCCGAGTTCTTAACCACGGAGCCACCAGGACTCCGTGCCTAAATTTAAAAAACAACAAAAAACCAAACCCGTTGCGGTGGAGTGGATTCCGACTCATAGCCACCCTATAGGGCAGGGTAGAACTGCCCCACAGGTTTTCCAAGGAGTGACTGGTGGATTGAAACTATTGAGCTTTTGGTTAGCAGCTGAGCTGTTAAGCACTACGCCGTGCCTCCATTAGGAAAGGGCAATTGTCCAAAAGCCCAATATACGAGAAAACCACAAGAGGGAGATGTTATTCCAAGAAGTCTCGTTTGTGCTTCCTATCTCTGAATCTGGTACTTCAGTCGCTCTCCCAGTCCCTGTATTTATCTCCGGCGTCACTCTCTGCTTTCTCCATATTCATACCACTCCTCTACCCGCTCCCGCCCCCCATAGCTTTCTTCATCAAAACCTTTAAGAAAATTAAGTAGCAAATTAAATTTTAATGATAAGTGAGTCGGATTTGATTTTATGTTGTGGTTCGCTGAGAAAGCAAAGGGTTGCTTAAATTTGATTTACACAGTTGTGGTATGGAGAGTAAGCCAAGTGATGAAAAATGTGAGAACTGCCTGTATCAACACACACACACCCAGCACTGAAACGTTGGGCCTGGGAGGCGCGGGGGCGGGGTAAACGCGTCCGTCCCTAACTCCGCTGACTCGGAACGCAGGCTTCGGCTCGGAACGCCGCCGGGCCTAGCCGGGCGGAGTCCTGGCCCCAAGAGCAGTGGCCTACTCAGGCGGCCCTGAAACCCCCGACTCCGGCAAGTCCCGGAGGCCGGCGTTGCGGGGAGCCAGGCTCCGGCCCGCGGGGGTTACGCCCAGGGAGCCCCGTGGGGAGAGCACTATGAGCCCCGAATGGAAGTCTCAGCTGGAGGAGAACCACCTGGTGAGCGGGAGGGGCGCGACAGCCAGCAGAGGTAGTGTGGGTGGAGGGCGGGCTCCTTAACGGAGCAGTCGCCCCAGGAGCGGGGCCGACGCCAGCCAGCTGGGGAACAAATAGGGAGGGCCCTGTTCATGGGGTGCGTGCATCTGCCCCTTTGGCGCTCAGAGGATTGGGGCGGGGGCCCCCAACCCCTGGAGCCAGGAGGGAAGCTTTCAGGGGCTGCAGCACCCGCGTTGCCAAGACGACACTGTACTTCGCCGCCGTGGCTATCACAGGCTTCGGTGCTGCCAGCGAGGCTCCTCTTCAAGGGTCCTCCGGGAGGGCTCTCAGCCACCCAGCTTTGTAAGAGCTGTAGGCAAGCGGAGACTTTTAATCCTGGTCTTCTCTCACGTCTCCCAAACAAATCACCGCAACCACTAGAGAAACCACGGGGAAAACTGTGATTGCAGCCCCATATCCGCTGGAGTCTCTCCTCCTGGGCATGTCAACCCTGCCCTCGACGCCCCTTTTCCCGCAGGAGTGGACTATAAGGGTCAGACCTGGTCCGGTCTCTTCGCTTCACCCCTACCAGACCCCACAGCAGGCTGTGGGCAGGGAGCGGCCCGCTCCGCGCAGGCCGATGACGCGACTGCGCCTGCGCGCGCGGCCCGGCTGGAAGAGGGTGTGAACGCTGGGTTTCGGGGCCCGGCGGCCGCCTGGGATCCCGGCTTTGCAGAGAATGGGAAAGAAGCAGGTGGTAAGCGAGGCCTAGTAACGTTTATTTGGGTTATTAAGATTCTGTCTTCAGTTCAGCCGTCCTGCATTTGAGGGGCTTACAAGTTAGGTCTCTAAATGGGTGAAACGTCATTTTTGCGGGACTTTTGAAATGTGAAGTTACCAAGTGAACTGGGTTCTTGGCTAGAACGCGATTCACAGCATCTTTAGAACAATAACGCTTTCGTCTTTTTTTTTCCAGTTTAATTTTGACTGGACAGTACTAAGACATTATAGCATTTGTATTAATATGCTATTTGAACGAGTGGGTTGCTAGTGGGACAGTTGTAGAACCAACTAGAAGAGTGTCTAAAATTTAACTTTTGATACATTGTCCTCTCAAGCAGCATGAGATCATAGGAACATTAAACTCATTTCGAGGTATTTCTGTTGGTATTTTATTTTGAAAGATTCCAGAATGCTTTTTTAATGTAATGCTCTCTGGATTGCAAACAACTTTTCTTATTCATGTAAAACTGCATTTATAATTCCTCCCCCTCCCTCCCCCATTCTTGCTGCTGTAACAACCATCCTTCACGCTGTATTCAGAGTGATCTTTAAAAAAGCACGTTACTACTTGGCTTAAAACCTCCATTAGTGTCCTATTAAAACAAAATTCAGACTCTTTCCCTTGGTCTGCAAGACTCTAATTTATCTGTCCCCTACCTGCCGCCTCTTGGTAATGGTGCTGCAGCCTTGCTGGCCTTCATTTTTAGCTGAAACCCTCTGCTTGAAATGCTGGTTTCTTTGTCATTCAGGCTTCAGTCCAAATATCTCAGACTTTCCCTGACCAAAAGTAGCACTCCTCATCCTCCCTCATTCACTATCTTACTACTCTCTATTATTTATTTTTTTCTTCTGATATTTGGCCACTAGAATGTAAGTCCATGAGAGCAGGCATATCTCTGTTTTGTTCATCAGTGTATCCCCAGGCCTGAGAACAAAGCTTGGCCTGTAGATAGAAAGGAGGGTAGAGAGGAAGGAATTTTATATGACATTCAGAAATGGTGGAATAAATTTTGAAAAGCCCATATCCTTCTCATTAGTACATCCCAGATTTTTACTAGTGGACAGAGTTATCAGATCTGAAGATACTAGTCTGATGCATTGTATTTTTCTGTCATGTTTAAACAACAAACTTTTTTTTTAAAGAATGGCTTCACGATATTGAAGCCATTCTTTAAAAAAAAGGAGTCCTGGTGGCACAATGGTTAAGAGCTTGGCTGCTAACCAAAAAGATTGGCAGTTTGAATCCACTAACCAGTTCTTGGAAACCCTATGGGGCAGTTCTACTCTGTCCTATAGGGTTACTACTAGTTGGAATCGACTTGATGGCAATGGGTTTGGGTTTTTTGGTTTTCATGGTATTAAGGTACATGAAGTAAAGATGATCTCTACTTTTGCTTAAAAGCAGTTTTCTCCTATTCCCCCTCCAGCGTCCTCCGCGTGCCCTTCCACCTGTGCCAAGGTAAAAATATTTTTCCCTAATCATTATTGGGTTTTAAAAGTACAAAATGAATAAAGTGAGAAAAATTGACTAGTACTATTGCAAAATTATAATGATTTAGAAAAGACTTCCTAAAATTTTTACGAAAAGCCTTCCTAAAATTTTAAAGATAGGAAATCTTTGAATCATTAGTATAAAAGATATAATTAAATGTTTAATTTAAAAGCCTAAACATTAACGTGGTATAAGAATGCTTCCATTCTGAATGTTTTAGTGACTTGTTTATCAGAATTGTTTATGAGAATGTTTATCAGAATTCTGATCCTCTTTTGTTTGCTAGAATAGTTTCCTCAGAGTTTAAGCTGATTTTATCACTGAGGAAATAAGAGTTCTTAATCTACTTAATCCACTTTACTAATAGACTGAAAGGAATGTGTATGTAGGTTCATAACATTGGGGTTATTTTATTAGTCTTGTTAAACAGCTTATTATTTGTAAATAATAAACTAGTTTGTAAACTAGCTGACATTGTGGGAAACCTGATTTATTTTAAATTTGTAATGATTTAAGCAAATTTTCAGCCTGACAATATAATAGATTTCTAATTAATAGAATTTCTTTTTTGTCTTTGTTCTGCTGATTAAACTTGGTTGATGCCATGTAAAAGTGCTGCTCAAGGTGAGTTAGTTCACTGTTACGTAAAACTTTCTAAATATAGTATTGGTATTCAAAAGTTAATTTGATTTCATAATGGTTGTCTTTAAAATTAAGTCTGAATGGCATCATTTCTAATACTACTAAGTACATTTTTTCCCAAACAATATCTTTTTTGTCATAATCTCCCATGACTGCCTTTTTAAAATGATGGTTGATATATAATGCTGGATGACCTGAGACATGTAAAAGCACTTACCCCTGAATGGAGTCATGAAGAGTGCAACTCTTGGCTAGTCTATAGCCCTGTAATAGGGACTGCACCTTCCTTTGTCTTATTTAGTCAGGATAGGATAGGTTATACTGTGGTAACAACCCCCAAATCTCAGTGACTTAATAACACACAGATTTGTTTCTGGTTCATGCAAAGTCCACCGTGGGTTGTGGCAACAATCCAGGGTAATTGTCCTTCAGTACCTCTTCACTAATGACCTAGTGATACAGTCCTGTGGCTCTGTTGTCTGAACACAAGGCTTCTTCAGTTGCCCCAACAAGGGAAGAGAAAACTGGAAGGTTACTCGCTGGCTACTTCAATGTTTTGGCCCTAAAATGACACAGATTACTTTTGCTCATAGCCTGTTGGCCAGAACCAGTAATAGAACACATGTAAGTATTAGGAGTCTAAGAAATGTAGAGGAACAAATGGAATATTTGATGAGCACTCTTTCTCCATCACAATTTCTAACATTGACCAGCAGTGTTACTGGTAAAGCACCATGGACTCCATTTGACTATGTTGATTTCTTGTCTTATTCCCCTAATGTGAAAAAGTTGGCTGGGCCTTGGGAAGAGAGGGAAAAGCCTTCCTCACTGAAAGTTCTCTTCTGACTGTTCTGCTTAAATTTTAGGCAGCCTTTTCTGTTGTTGTTTTTTTCTGTTTTATAGATGATATTCTACTTAATCGTCCTAAGAAAAAGAAGCCCAGGCCAAAACACACACTAGGTAAGAAGTTCTTTATTGTGTGGGATCACAAGTTTTCCCAGGACCTCAGGCATTATAAACATCACAGATCAAGTAAGTCACTGCTGTGCTGAGGATAGTATTAAGGCCAGGTAACTTGAAGGAGTGGGATCCTGGTGATAGTGAGGGACAAGGTGGTGGGCAGCCTGAAGAATGCCTTAGAAGTATTTATGGGTTGTACTACCTAAGCTCTTACTTTCACAGTGTTCTCAGACTCTTTAAAGTCCTTTGTCCCTAGACAGTGTAAGTTGTCTTAAGCTATGTGAGTTCCAGACCCTAGAACAGGATACTGGATTTAAGGAGAGATAGGATTCTTGGAGCCCTCATTTCAGTCAGAGGACCTCTGCATTAGAGCATGAATTTGAAGGCAGGGCCTCGTCATCCATGTATTAAAGCTCTAATAATGAGCAGGTTCTATGAACTCCTTTTGTTTAGTTATACACTGATAATTCTGGATGTCCCACCAATAACTCAGACTCATCATGTCCAGAATTTATCACCTTCAACAATAAACCAGTTTTTACTTCTCACAAATTTCTGTTAATGGAACTCCCATTCTCCCAATCACTCAGGCTCGCTCCCTTTACTTGTGGCCTCTCGTATGCTTGCTTCTTCTATGGCATCTCTTTTATGTTTCTTTTTGTCTTTCAGTTCCACTGTCACAACTATAGTTGGTTTCGCTCCTTTCCTCTTTTCGCCTGAGCTATCGGAGTAGCCTCCAACAGGGCTCTGTACATCTGGCTTTCCCCCACTCTAATCAGTCCTGCCTCACTGCTGGATAGGGTTTCTTAAAGCTCATAGCTGATCATTCCTTATAGCTGGTTAGAAACTTATATTGGCTTATCGTTGCCTAAAAAATGGAGAAATAGGTGGTGAATTGTTGTCATTGTTAGTTGCCATTGAGTCGACTCCAACTCATAGCAACCTTATGTATGACAGAACAAAATGTTGCCCCATCCTGTCCCATCTTCATGTTCATTGGTGTGTTTAGAGAAAAAGAAAGAAGCAGAGATGGATGCATAGAGAATGACATATAGACACAGACAGAACTATAAAAAAAAAAAAAGTGCAAAGAGATTTAGACTTACAAAGATAACTTAGTTAAACAGACTTACACATATGGACTCAGAAAGATCACAGGTAGGATGTGATAGAGACAGAGTGAGGGAGCAGGGATGTGGGTCTAACCTAGCCACCCAGTGCTTCCTTTTTTATAAAATGTAGAGGAAAAAAAACAAAAACCAACTAACATTAGACAAAAAGGGGAATAAATATTGCCAGGCTTTTATAAAAATGGTTTTAATTTATACTTACAGTTTTAAAGTGCAAGTATTTTAAAATTTTTATTTTCCTGTCATTCTAATGCTATTTTATAAAGAAAAAGGTCTGTGCTCCTGAAGTAATGTGCTCTTTCTCTGATTTGGAGATATTCATAAAACCTGAAGGTTATTGTAAAATCAGGCCATGTATTTGTGTCCAGTAAGAAATATTACATTTTCATACTTTATGCATATTTTGTTTCTGGAAAAGCAACTATAAATAAAATTGATTTAAAGTGAGTATTCGTGTTTGACAAAATTTTGACTCAATATTTCTGACTAAAATATGATTTTTAGACATGGCAATAACCTATTTAGTCAGAGAATATTCAATCTTTTTGTGATTTAGGTGAAAATTTACATAGCAAATTAGTTTCTCATTAAACAGTTAATACACAGATTGTTTTGTGACATTGGTTGCCAACGCTGCGATGTGTCAACCCTCTCCCCTTCTCCACCGCAGGTTCTTTGTTCCCATTCAAACAGTTTTCCTGTCCTTTCCTGCCTTCTCATCTTTGCTTTTGGGCTGGTGTGCCCGTTACTCTGGTATATATGATTCACCTGTGAAGCACGTCCTTCATGTGTTACTGTTGGCCCTATAGACCTGTCTAATCTTTGGCTGAAGGGTGAACCTCAGGAGTGACTTCAGTACTGAGTTAAAAGGGTGTCTGGGAGCCATACTCTTGGGGTTTCTCCAGTCTCTGTCAGACCAGCAAGCCTGGTCTTGGTTTTTTGTGTGTGAATTTAAATTTTGTTATACATTTTTCTGCAGCTCTGTCTGGGACCCTGTATTGTGATCCCTGCCAGAGCAGTTGGTGGTGGCAACCGGGCACCATCTGGTTGTTCTGGGCTCAGTCTGGTGGAGGTTGTGGTAGTTGTGGTCTGTTAGTCCTTTAGACTGTCTTTCCCTTGTGTCTTTGGTCTTCTTCATTCTCCTTTGCTCTAGCCAGCATGGGACCATTAGATGTATCTTAGATGGCCCTCAGCCCAGTAGCTTGGTGTCTCAGGGCGTTTGGATGTGTCTGTGAAGCTTCTATGACTTTGCCCCGGTCAAGTTATGCTGACTTCCCTAGTATTTTGTACTGTCTTACCCTTCGCTTACTTCACCACTTTATTTACTATCTAGTTAGTGCTTTTCCTTCTCCACCCCTCCCAAAGTGTATTCAGTCTTAAGTGATTTAAAACAAACAAACAGACACAGTTGCCATCGAGTCAACTCTTAATTCATGGTGACCCCATGTATGTCAGAATAGAATTGAAACTCTATAGGATTTTCAATGGCTATGCTCCAGAGGTTTTTCAATGGCTGATTTTTAGGAAGTAGATCAGTAGGCCTTTCTTCCAAGGCACCTTTGGAGGGACAGGAACTGCCAACCCTTTGGTTAGCAGCCAAGCACGTTAACTGTTTGTATCACTAGGACTCCAATCTTAAACGATACCATTATATAATATCATGTTTTCCGAGTGCATGTAAATCAGTTAAACATTTATCATATAAAAACTTAAATTGATACAGTAAGTAGTATGCATTTAGAGTATGCAGTACACAGAGTTCTTATTTATTGTATCATAGGTTTTGCCAATAAATAATGCACAAAATAATATATTTGAACAGAACTGTGGTTTTGTAGCTAAGCTTTATATTTCAGACACTAAAATTACATTAATTTGAAGAGTCTAAGATTTGATAAAGGAGACCTGGTGGTGCAGTGGTTTAGTGCTTGGCTGCTAACCAAAAGGTTCGCAATATGAACTCACTAGCTGCTCCTCAGGAGAAAGATGTGACAGTCTGCTTCCAGAAAGATTACAGCATTGAAAACTCTATAGGGCAGTTCTACTCTGTCCTATAGGGTCACTCTGAGTCCGAATCAACGAGACAGCAATGGGTAATATTTGATACTACCTGGATTTATATGTAGAGACATAGTAAAAATTTTTTAGTTCTGCTAGTATTCATTTGATACACCAAGTACTGATTTTACATAACTCACAATGTGATATAAATGTGAATTGTAGACACAATTCTTATAGTTGTAGGCAAAGATATAATAAGCACACTTAATCATTATTTGGAGTCCCTTGGTAGTGCAAACGGTTAGCACACTTGGCTGCTAACCAAAGGTTGGAGGTTCAGCTCCACCCTGAGGTACCTCAGAAGAAAGACCTGGCAATTTACGTCTGAAAAGCCATCCACTGAAAACCCTATGGAGCACAGTTCTTCTCTGACACGCATGGGGTTGCCATGAGTCAGAGTTGACTCCACAGCAACCAGTTTGGTTTTTGGTTTTAATCATTATTTAGAGAGTGATTATGAGTTTGTGATTAACCTGTTGCTTGTCTTTTGGTATTTCTCTGCTATTCTATATCATTTTTGGTAAGTAACTTTATTACACAAAATGATATGTGAGAGCATTTTAGTTATAAAGGATGCAAATAATTTAGAAACATCCAGAGCAAAACGTTAAAGTTCTCCTTTTCCTTTCCTGCCTATACCCGTCCTTCCTGAATCTCTCCCTAGGGACACTCTTTAGTTCGAATTTTTCTTCCATGTCCCTCTTGTATTCATTTACATATAAATACCTAAAAGATTATTGTGGTTGATGCTTTTTTTTTTTTTTTTTACATAAAAGGAATCATATTATTGTCTTTGTCAGTACATAGAGTTCTATGTGTTCTTAAAGCAGTGGCTTTATAGTATTACATTATTAGACTGTACCACAATCACTGGTCTCTTGGTAATTTACAAACAACATTGCAGTTCTCCATGAAATAGGTATGGTGAGGAAGAAGGGGTATTTCTGTAAGATGGATTGCTAGCAATGGAGTTATTAATACGATAAAACCAAAAAACCAAACCCGCTGCCATCAAGTCGATTCCGACTCATAGCAGCCCTATAGGACAGAGGAGATCTGCCCCGTAGGGTTTCCAAGGAGCAGCTGGTGAATTTGAACTGCTGACCATTTGTTTAGCAGCTGAGCTCTTAATCAGTGCGCCACCAGGGCTGCATTAATACGATAGATTCTATTAATTGCACTCAAGGAAGCTTTACTTATTTTCTCAACACAAACAGTGTTTGAGCATGCCACCTTCTTTAAATCCTTGACAATATTGGACAATGTGATTCTTTAATTTTTTTGGTCAATTTAGTAGGTGAAAAGTAGCTTATGTTAGTTTGCATTTCCTGAATACTAGTGAGGTTAAACATCTTTTCATGTGATTATTAGTACATTTATATTTCTTCTTTGTTAAAGATGTAGTCAAGTAAAATTCCAGTCTGCCGAGCTGTAAACCAAAGAACAAACCCATTGCCTTGGAGTTGATTCTGATTCATAGCCACCCTGTAGGACAGCGTAGAACTGCCCCATAGGGTTCCCAAGGCTGTAATCTTTACAGAAGCAGACTGCCACATTTTTCTCCTGTGGAGTGGTTAGTAGGTTCAAATCTGCCAAAGTGTGTTGAAATTCCATTAAAAGGTTTGATGAGGGGAAAAGTTGAATGACTAAATGAAGGGCTTTATAATTATTTGATGATTCCAGTTATCTGTGATGACTTTATCATGTGCTAATTTATTAAGGGCTAAACTGTATAGATGCTGATAAAAATTCTTAAGGCACAAGATAAGAGAGTTCTTTATAGCAGCAGTTTCTATTTACACTTTTTGTAAATTCTGAAGAAATTTTCTCCCCTCTTCTTTTGCTCTTCTTTCTAGCTCCTCCCCTTTTTTCCTTCCACAGCCTGCCTTGTTCTCTCATTTATTTCTTTTCTCAACTTGAAGCCCAAAGTTATAGACGAGGAAGAAGGAAATCAACATTTGGGGCATAATCGATTATATAAGAGAATAAGGGATTATTGCATAGTAAACTTTAAAGTCTCTTTTTTCCCATCATGTTAAAACTCTGTGCTCTCTGCTCAAGTTACCTCATTTTTTCCACTCTGTTTTTCTATAGTTAGTACCTCTTTGGATGGTCTTGTTCAGGCTGCTGTCCACAAACCACCTAAAGGCAGTGAGCCACCAACTGAAGAACCCATAGAGCATCCAGAAGCTCCTGTTCAAAGGAGATACAAAAAGAAGAGACAATCTCTTGGTACGTGAAGAAACCAATGTTAGGTGTGATAGCAGTTGTGATTTTGGGTGTGTAAGGGAAGCCTGTCTGCTCCCATTTTTCCCCCACCCATATCCCATAGATTTTTTTTCCCCTTTCTTGTTTAATTTTTTTTACCACTAGAGTGACTCCGATGGGTTAAGTCAAGAACATTTTAGAACATTTTAGAAGATCTCTTTTTGATCATATGTATATAGACTATGAGGGGAGGCGTACAAATTCAGGACTGAAACAAAGTTCAGAGGCAGATCTCAATGCATGTAAGAATTTAGTGTATGATGAAATGAGCATTTCAGATTAGTGGTGAAAAGATAGATTTTGTATTAACAATAGTATAATTAAATAGTTAAAAACGAAACCCACTGCCCTTGAGTCGATTCCGACTCATAGCGACTCTGTAGGACAGAGTAGAACTGCATCATACAGTTTCCAAGGCTGTAATCTTTACAGAAGCAAACTGCCACACCTTTCTCCCATGGAGTGGCTGGTGGTTTTGAACCACTGACCTTTCAGGTAGCAGCTGAGCACGTTAACCACTGTGCCACCAGGACTTCTAAGGAAACAGTAGCCAATACTTACTGAGTCTTACTGTATGCCAGGTACTGTCTTCAAAGTAAGTGAAATATTATACCATTTTTTTTTTTTGCCTATCAAATTGGCAGTGCTTTTTTTTTTTCAAACTGTAAAATCTAGTGTTGACGGGAAATAGGTAGACTCTTCACTGCTGATATCAAAACCAACCCACTGCCGTTGAGTCAATTCCAACTCATAGCAACCCTATAGCACATAGTAGAACTGCCCTATAGGGTTTCCAAGGAGCAGCCGGTGGATTCAAACTGCTTACCTTTTGGTTAGCACCCAAGCTGTTAACCACTGTGCCACCAGGACTCCTCACTGCTGATTAAAAAAAAAAAAAAAA